TCGTATCGGCCTAGGTCACCTTCGTAGATTCTCCACTCCAAGGACATCTCATCGTCTACTTTCTTTCCGGTACAGCTTGACTTGCTGCGGGATTTGTGATCCTGGGGGCGCTTGGGTTGTGAAAGTCCTCGTGGCAGGGAATCTTCGTCTGGGTCGATCAACATCCACGGAACCCCCAAAGCAAACGCTTGGGTTTTGACCTCGAGTAGCCAACCGTCCCAGTCGGATGGATTTGAGAGGACGATGCTCGATCGTTTCTCCATCTTCAAGAGCGGCTGCGACAGAGACAGGGGGGGAGTGAGGGGGTCAAAGTTTCTTTGAGATAGGGTGGTAGAGCTGGTCGGCTGGCGTGAGATACAATCAAGTTAGAGAGTGAGATGAAAAGGTAGGGAAGACTGATGAGAGAAAGTTCGAAGCAGCAGTTCGGTGCGGCGCAGTTTTCGGTGTGCGCGTTGGCACATTGGTTGCCGTGCCGCCGAACAACCTAATAATACCTAAGGAAGAGCAGGCTGTGCACAGGCCAAGTTACGACCATTGTGATATGACCGTTCTGGGTAAGACAATGCCGATTGTTGCACAAGATGGATCAAGGAGAGAATAAGAACAAAGAGGCAATCAACAATCGTCCTTCGAGAGGGTACAACAGAGGGTATAATGATAATGTGCTGTACAAAAAATGCAGAAAATCTCTTGCAAAACTCGCAGGATGGAAAATCAGAGCGCCGGACCGAACACACCTGAAATGCTGACTGCTATGCGGATGCAGAGAAAGGATATCTTGGAAAATGCGGGACAAGTGCACCATAACAAAATGACAACAAATCACTGCGTACCAACAGGCTCCAACCTCACACCTCCAAAGCTCCAGCCACCAACGAAAACTCCCTTCTCAAAGCTCTTCGTGACCAACAGGCCCAACGCGCCTTCAAGGCCCACATCCACCTCCACATCTGCGGTGACCTCGATCCACCCCTTGCCGTTGGTTTCCGCGTACCTCGTCCGGCCGACACGTACGCGTACCGCATCCGCGCCCAACAGGACAGGGACCACATCAGGAGTGATCTTGACATCAACCACACGGTGTGCAAATGTGGTCACATCTAGGGGCTTGCCGACAGAAAAGACAACTTCCGAGGGAATGGCGCAGCCGTCCTGCGGGGTGAACAGCGACACGATGAACGAGACGCGATAGCGGCCAGGGGGAATGCCGGTACGCAGGGCCCGGAGACAGACGTTGTCAGCGCGCTTGCAGGTAAGAACGGCGCATTCTTCGCGGCGGCCGTCGCCATCGAGGTCAAGCGCGATAGGAAGCACGCCGCGGACGCGGCCGTTTGAATCGAGAGTAAAGCCGCGCTGGCCAGAAGGCGAAGTGGTGGCGAGTTGGTTGAGATTTTGATGCTCAGACAGTGTCGGGACGACGCCGAGTGGGAATCCCGTCTTGAAATCAAGCTCTTCCTGGATGAAGGAGCCATCGATGAGACCGCGGCCAGTGATGCCGGTCCGGAATGTGGTTGCGGGGATTTCGAATTTCGGCGGCAGGGCAGAAAGCTTGACGATGAGTTCACCGAATTGTTGGGCGCGGCGTACTTGCTCCGACTCGCACATGTATTGTTCGGTCAGAGCGGCCATTTCGTCTTCCATCATCCACTGCTCGAGCGAAATGTTCGCGAGACCACCATCCACGTCGAATCGATAGTAATGCGTGGGAGTCTCGTAATACATGCGGCTCAATTCGGAGTGAACTCTAGCAGTCCCCGCGGCCAGAGAGCCTAGTGCGGAGGCGAGAGCGATGTCTGTCCCAAGTCCAAAAGGAAGCCAGCTTGCAACTTTTTTGACCGACGGAATAGTCTGAAGACCGGTGCCCACGGAGACTATAACACCGATTGGACGGCCTTCCCAGATTGACTTTGCAGCATAGTCAACTTCTGCGCAAGGGTTGTTGAAGCCAACGCCTCCGTCGAGATAGGTCATTCGAGGTGTGCCAAAAGTCATTTCTTCGAAAAAGGTAGGCGCGGCAGAGGTGGCGCGGAGAGCTTCCCAAATCCTTGTTGAGCGGTCGTTAGGATCATAGGTCGAGAGGATTCGAGGAAGACCCAGTGCGTTCTTCAAGGCAGAGACGACAAACGCGCGGCATCCTCTCTGGTTGGGCTTTCGATGAACAGACGTATGTCTGTGTACCCGCCACGTAGGGGTGTTTGTGCGATTGTGGCGTTTGAAAGACTTGGTTGGCGGGGAGTCGAAGAAGCTGTCGGTCGTCTTTGATTTGTCCAACTTGGTCGGTGTGGTCGCCCTGCTCTCCGTGCTGAGGCTTTCCCGTGGTGACTCGGTCAGAGTCGGCTCCGGGACGTCTGCCCATATGCTATCGTTTCGCCCGTCTTTTTGCTCGCCGTGCTCCTCAAACAGGGAATCATCCCACATGGGTTCGTCCTCGTCGTACCCCAGCTTCACGAGGGACTTCTTGATAGCGTTCTCGAGGACAGCACCTGAAAATCGCGTCTTTCCAATGGGAACCTTCATTCCAGCCAGGTTGAAGGACCTGTCATTTTTGAAGATCTGTTCCGCAAGTTCGGAGTATATCGCGATGCAGCTTTTGATATCCAGTCGCAGTCTTCCAAGCAGAATGGCGATGATCCCGCCAGTGCTTGTTCCGCCGATGAGGTCGAAGTAATCGCAGGGCTTGAGTGGTTCGTTGTCGCTGGCCGGGCGCATGCCGAGTCTCTTCTCCTCGAGCGCAATGTTCTCCATTAAGTCGTCCAGGACCATGAGGCTCGACAAGCCCCGGACTCCTCCGCCATCAAGCGAGAGAAGCCGGAGCGGGGCGCGGGGGTTGGGCTTTGATCCTTCCATCTCGAGTCGTGGCGGGTGCATGATGATTCGTTGCGAGATGGGCCAGTCGGACTTTATATACGCTCTGAAGGTTTTGAGAACGTCCAGATGACGCCAAGAGAGGTACTGGGAGGTCGATCGAGGCGTCAAGGGCGATTGTAGTGTGGTGAGTCAATGAGGAATATTCACAGCTTTAAGGAAGCCTGTCTTTGCCGAAGGCTCCAGGGCTCGTGATTGAAAAAGCCAACGTGATTGTCTCCACGACTGTAGAATGAAAGCCCAAACAACAATTCAACCAGACAACAGTACTTTGAAAATGAAATGAAATGATGACAAGTTTCGAAACAGCTTCGATTCGAATATGTTCGCTGTTTGCTGTAGATGCGTGTAGTCAAAGGCAAGTGTGGGGGCTAATGTTTGCTGAGTCCTCGGTTGGTGACGCTGAGGCTGCGTCACCAGGTTAGCAACTAGGCAGACTCGAGGCCACACGTGTGCAGCCTGGGTTCCTTCACACTCAGAACATCGGACAAGGTAAACACAAGAGGCCCTAGAGGGAATATTTGTTTGAAAGTCGCGGTCAGAGCTTCGTACAGAGCGTGAATCTGGACAGTCATGGGTGTCGAGCTGCTGGACAAGGCTGATTGGTCGTTGATCATTCGCTCCGCCATGGTCTGCGCCTCTTTCGTCGCGAGGCTTGCGCTGGATCCTTGGTGGTGACGCACCAACCTCGCTCAACGTACCAATGTTCCAGCATAGGGCAGAATCACATGATTTGAGCCTCCATCGGGCGCCACAGGCCGGCTGGCTTTTCTTCTTCGCCCCTGCAGAGCGACGTTTCGAGAGGCAGGCTCAGCCAAGTGGAAGAATGGCCGTTTGGCATGTGGAATACTCCGCACCATTCGAACTCCTGTCGTGCTACTCGAGATGGGCCGGATGTTCTGGACCGTCCGGAAAAACAACACCTAGTCCCCGTCGCCGACATCTGTCTCTATTGACAAACGGCCGCTGGGCGCTGCAGGCGATATATTTCAATATCCCGCAGGCCTAGACTCGGGTTCCCAAAGCTCTTGATCTTTCTGTCCTCGAGACTGAAGCCACATTTCTGCAACACCCGCTTGCTTTGGCCGTTGGCCGGGTCGATTTTGGCAGAAGCAAAGTCAAACTCGGACCTGAACTGCTGCCAGTAGAGAGGCATGAACGCCTGCAGGGCCTCCGTGGCCAGACCGCGCCCCCAAAAGTCCGGATGGAACATGTAGCCAATTTCTGGGGCCCCGACTGCGCCTACCAAGCCAATCACTTTGTGTCTGCTGGCTTTATCGTCGGTTTTATCGACGTAATCTTCTGGAGAAAGCAATTCTATGGCAAAGTTGTATACGTTGGGACGGCTCAGGCAGCCACGGATCCAACCTTGGGTGTGTTCGATGCTCGCTTCGGGGCCATTGTGACTGCAGCCTGATTAGCTCCGTTCTTTGGTAGCCGGACTGAAGTACCTACGAATACAACATGGCCTCGGGGCGCGACCGGATCAGATGGACATCCTCCGCATCCTCCACGCACAAGCCGCGCAAACGAAGGCGCGTCGTCCTCACCTCGGTGTGTTCCTGGAGGTCTGGCATGCGTCGCAATCGATCTCAACGATCAACCCGAAGTTGCAGCGGTTGACTCGATGGAGTCGGTTTGGCACAGCGACGGGACTTCATCGCGCTGGAGCGGGCGGGGTTTGCGAAAAGTAAATGGAGTGTCCCGAATCGAAAGAGGTGGTTGGTAGCGGAGCGGGCCGCAGGGTTGCCGCGTGGTTGCGACAGATCATTGGAGGTCCTCAGCCGAGCACTAAGCGCCCAGCTCAACAATCCTGCAGCGTTCATACGTGGGATCGTCTGGTATATTCTGCAACAAGAAAGGAATCGAAGTTCGTGCAAAATTCTTGATATTGTGGTGCTTCAAATTGTTTTGGTCCATGTCTTTGTTGCTCAAACAAATGACATCATCTCCTCAAATTCACATGTCTTGCACGTCTTGCGAGCTTGGAAGTTGCACTGAGAGAATGAAAGCACCACCAGTGTTCTTGATAAGCTATAATTGTGAGAGGGAAAGAGCTGAGATTTTCCAATCCTGTTCTGAGTGTCAATGCTGAACTTCATAATACAATTTCACAGAGTGCTCTTCAACAAGTAGCTTCGGTGGTGTAGTTGGTTATCACGTCAGTCTAACAAATCAGCTTCACAGCTGGCTGTTGGACACTGAAGGTCCCGAGTTCAAGTCTCGGCCGAAGTAGCTTTTTGCCAATCTTCTTCTCCATTCCTGCATCTCCAAAAGGCCCGAATAACATGTGGGCACGGTGGGCAACAGCGGCGAATGCACTATTGTTGAGAAGGCAGGGATGTCTTTTTGTTAAAGAAAGGAGATGATGGAACACAGATGAAATCAGCAAGGGACTAGTAAGAATGGCGAGGGCGACTGATTTACTCCAGCGTCTACAAAGATTCGACGTGCAGAACTCGGGTGTCTAGCTCTTACCGGGCCCGCATGTATGTGCATGGTCTTATGCCACTATGAGCGCTGTACATATAAGTAGGAGTGCATAGTATACTAGCTTTGAGTCAACGACGATATTGCTGCATCACACTCAAAATGGAATAATTTCCTTTGCCATTCTGCTATCATTGGACCAAAGAACAATACGCATCAACTACCATTGTCGAAACCTCGCTGAATCAGCCCCAGCCGGGACTGACCACCTATCTCTTTTTGCGCAACAGTCGCACGATAACAGACCACATCGCAACGACTCCTCCGCCGTCTTCTTCACCACTGCCCAAAGTCCCTCCCAGATTTCCATCACCCTGCACAGACCACTCCAAAAGTCCTGAAATTCGGTCCCTCGTCGGCATCATCCCTCGCACGCATCCAAAAAATTGCCGCTTTCGTCGACCGGCCCGTTGCGAGAAATGCAGGCCAGCCAATCAATTGCTTTACAAGACCAGGGCAGAGACGTCTTGACAAATCAGCGCTGCCGCTTGCTAACGTTGAACAGGGTGGGTTTGTTGGATAGACTGGCGCAAACGCCCCCACCCCACCCCACCTGGAGTCCTTGTGCCACTTCCGAGGCCTGGTACTATAGCAAAAGTCGCGGCACACATAACTAGGAGCTTGACTAAGACAAGGCAAACAAAGTAGAAGCGGCTGTAGAGTAGTAGAAAGTTTGCATGTTAAGCAGTACGTATGTAGGGAGCATTCAAGCGCTTTGCGCATGTGATGTTGGAATCAACCAATTCTTTTGCGTAGAGTTAGTTGCAGGGAGCAGTCGAAGCTGCATACGTGTGCCACGACTTTTGCTACCAGGCCTCGTCCCTTCTGCACTCCCTCCCTTTTGCTTGGTTTGGCTAGGTATCCTGCTCGCTCTCCTGGCCGCTGTGCTTATACCTCGTGTATATACACCCATCACTGCCTTTTTCCTTGTTGTTTACTTCCTGCCATGAACTCACACGAGATTCGGTGAATTACCTGCAGCCAAGCCCCCCCCAAAGCATGGCCAACGACACAAACAAGACGCAAAAACGATTTCCACATTCGCGCATGCTCAGTCCGTCCTTGTGGCCGCATAAACCGCCTCCTCAAACTTGGACAGCAGCTCAATCGTCTTGCCATCGCCGCCGGGCATGAACTGCGAAAGGAACAGTCCCGCCACGCCATTCGCCCTGTCAATCCACTACAGTACCAGCACCAGTCAGCCAGCGCGTCAGAAACAATCGAAATACAACAGTTTTTTTTTTTATTAAAAAAAAGGGGGTACAGAGAGATCATCGAAGAACAAAACTCACCCAAAAGCAGTTGGACATGCCCGACCAAGTCAGCGAGGGCGCGCCCCTGCGGCCGGGGACGGGCGACGTGTTCAGCACGCCACCAAGGCCCGAGTTGACGGCCGCATCGTCGGGGAGGCTGTTGAAGACGCTGTTGCGGACGAATACGGAGGCGTTGCGGGCGTCGGCAAAGTCGGGGGCCGTCGCGGGGATGTGCGGCGTGAACATGAGGTCGACCGTCTCGCGCTTCAGCAGCAACGCTTTGCTGCCGTTGTCGTCGCCGTCGCGGAGCAGCGCGGCGTAGATTTTGAGCAGCTCCGGCGCCGTCGCGTACAGCCCCGTGCCGCCAAAGTCGTCGCCCACCGGGTCCGGCATGAACCAGTCGGGGCGCTGCTCGAGGCCGCCGGCCGGTGTTCGCTGCCACATGCGCGCCAGCCGCGCGCGCATGTCCTCGCGCGCTTCCAGGTGGAACGTCATGTCCTTGATGCCGAGCGGCTCGAAGATGTTGAGGCGCATGTACTCGCCGAGCTTCATGCCGCCGTTGACGCGCTCGATCTGGGGATGCGTTAGTGATGATGCTCTGAGAGGGAGTGGAGCTTGGTCGAGTTTGACGGACCAGCAGGCCGACGTATTCGGCTTCTGGTGAATATCTCCACCGAGTGCCGGGCTCGAAGATGAGGATTTCGTCAAACGAGTCTCTCTGGAGTCTCTGTCAGCGGATTGATTTCGTAGTCGAGCAGTGCGCCCCGGCATCGTACAATCGTCAGGTTGTTCTTGGGCTTCGCGCCGTGCCAGTTCTGATACTTGGACATCAGGGGGTCCAAAAACGCATACGCCATGCCGCTTGACCGCGACAACATGTGCCTGCGAAACGCGTGAGACGCAACGAACAAGAGCGGAGCATGCCGACCATACCGGAGGGAAATGTGGTTTTGTGCGGGCTTCAAGATGGGCTCGCCATCGTCGTCAAACCCGATCAAGATCTTGGGATTCTTCCACTCAGGGAGGACGTCGCCAATGTCGCCATCGAGGCTCAGCAGTCCCTTCTCAACACACTGCAGCGCAGCAATGGTGGTGACGAGCTTTGAGCACGACGCGACCCAGTGGACAGCATTGGTGTCCTGCGGCCCGGCGGCGACGGTGCTGCAGTCGGTGCCAAAGAACTTTTCGTAGTAAAAGGAGCCTGTGAGCGGCGGCGCGCATCGTTTTAGCTTGTGCCTTCGGCATCAATCAATCTCCTGAGCTCTCCCTCAGATGTAGATATACCGACCCGACTTGTTGACTGCCCCCAGCGTCACAAACGGCAGCGGCGAGTCAGTCGCCTGCGGCTGGAGGTAGCCCTCGACAGTGTGGCTGAACGAGTCCATGTCAAAAACGACGTCAACCAAGGCGCCACCCGAAGACACAAGCTCGCTGGGAGGCGTTCGTGCCAAGGTTTGGCGTCGAGGTCTGGGATCGAGCCTGTTCTATAGCCACTGCTTGGGATACGGCGAATGTGGTTTGATTGGTTAGAATTTGGGAGACGCTCTTCAGAGACAGTGACGTCGCTGGATGCCGTCGGACCATTTGTGTTGTCGACCTGCCAATGAAGCCTAGTTCCATGCGAGTGGTTTGCGTTGCCGGCCGCCGAGAGGCATTATCCTTGCTGCTCGTGTCATTGTGAAGGTATTGTCGACTTTGGTACTTCGTTGATATCCTGTGGCAACCGGACAAAAGTCTTAACTCGCGGACTGCAATCTCAAGCAGTTGTGATTGAGATGGCAAAGCAGGTACCAATAGTACCCGCCGAAATCTTGACCGAGATGCCCCTTTGCATCAGCAACAAAGCACTGCATCTACCCCCTCAACAGGCATGCCTATGCGACGAATCGAAGCCAGAGAAACGAGAGGATATCGGTATTCGAGACCACGATCCGCAAAATCCTCTAAATTCTCGTCGAGCGGTCCATCGACAACAATGCACCTTGTACGTAGGGCTCGGCTTCCGAACACATGGTCGGCAGGTTCCCCTAAGCGAAAGATCGGCGCGACGCGGGAAAATCGTGATGGAATCAGGACCAACTCGCACGCCAGAAAGGCCTTAGGAGGTGCTTTACTCGCGGAGTCGGTTATCCACGGGCTAAGTCCCTGGTCACCATGATGGATCTGGGCTGGCTGTATGGATCGAAGGGCGACGTTTCAAGATGGCCGGTCGCTTGAACCGAGAAAATAAGTGCTCGCGGTGGTATGATGGTGTGTCATTCGGTAGTTTTCTGCCTGGTCTCTTTAGTCGTGCAGAGCGTGTCACTGACTTGTTGGCTTGGTGTGGTGGAGTCGCTTCAAGAACCTCGTTGTTTCGCTGTCGTCCAGTTCTTTTGGTGTTGGAAGAGGCGTTTGGGACAGCAATGACCATCTCTAAGGCCACGACCCGCCAAGTTTAGGACCACTCCAAGAGATGCACTGCCAAGGACGACGCCATGATAGTAGCCTGGGCATCCATCTTCCAGAGTGCGTTCTCCCGCTCGAGTCGAGAATCGAGATGGCCGCAAATTGGCACAATGGTGTTGTGGATCCCCTTCATGATAGAGAGATCCACCTCAACACCCTCAGGCGAGTCGTATACGGGTCTCTATCAATACGCCGAGACCACACACGTGCTTTCGAGCCCGACGTCCGCTCGACAAGGAAAAAATCGAGTGATATCGCTCGCCGGCAGCAATGGGTCGACAGGGCTGTGAAATAGATTAATAGGCTGGGGCTTGGGACGATTGATAGCAGCAGGCGCTCATACCGTCCAACACTACTCGCAAGATGTTGGCCAAAAACCTCTCCGAAGTTCTCGTCAAGGCCGCAGAGTATCCCGCCAACCGGGGTGTTTTGTTCGAGTCTGCCACGGGGTCGAAGCACGTCACGTACCGGAAGCTGCTCGAGATAGCGCAGGAGCTGTCGTCTGCCGTCCTCAGCCTGGGCGCGGACAAGGACACCAGGTTCTTGCTCCACTTCGACAACCACTACGACAACATCACCTGGTTCTGGGCCGTGGTGCTTGCGGGATATGTTCCGGCAGTCTCGACTCCCCTCGTCTCCGACCTCGACGCACGGAAGAGGCATCTCGATCACTTGCACACGCTGCTGGACCCGCTTGTGCTGACGTCGTCGCGGTTAGTCGACGACTTTTGCGGCCTCGACTACCTCAAGCTGCGGCCGGTGGAGGAGCTGAGCAAGTTTGTGGTCGAGGAATCCAAGCAGGATGCGACAGGCCTCCTCAAGACTGGCGACGACCTTGCCGCGCTGATGCTCACGTCGGGAAGCACTGGCAACTCAAAGGCCGTCATGCTTCGCCACGGACAGATGCTGACGGCCATCCGGGGCAAGAGCCAACACCACGACACCAAGTCGGAAGATGTCTTTTTGAACTGGATCGGATTCGACCGTAAGCCAACCCTTGAAATTGCAACAAATGGCAGCTGGACTAACCTTTCCAAGATGTTGCCA